GAAGTTCATGCAGTGGTCAGAGGATCTGAGTCATCAGTCTCTCACCGAACGTAATACTTAAGGTCTGGTATTCGACTGACAATGGAAATTCTTTTTTCTGTCAATTGAAATATGTTATCGTTTTAATTTTCTTCGTCCCGTCAGAATCGGCAGCCTAAAAATTAGCAGCACCAATATCAATTTCCAGAGGATAATTATATCTACTTAAAATGATTCACAAATGCTGTTTTGTGCTAGTATTATCGTTGTGCAAACAAAAGAAATATTGTTTGCGCCCTTTTCCTTTCAAATGACAATGAAGGTGTCATATTCGTAAGTGTTTCTGATCAGAACTGTCAAAGTTAAGTAAACTGCTCGGAGAGTGAAACCCACAGATGTTGTTTCTGTCAGTTTCGTTCAGATTCGCTATCTATAGTTCTGAATCTCTCGCGGGTTGTCTGTAGAGAAATATCTTGATTAAAATGACGCAAAGAATTACGACCTATTACAATCTCCTTGAGTGCATGACGAAAATCCTTTTTCGCCAAAGTGCACAAAATCGGGTTTAACATCATTGGAATAAAACCAAGGCAAATTTGCAGACGCTGAGACCATATTGGTAGGGTAGAATCTTCTGAGGAACTCATGTGATCGTGTAATACGCCGAAGAAGTAAGGCAGCCAACAGCCGCCAAAAATTATCAACGTGATCAACAACACACTACGACCCCTCCACTCATGACGCAGAGATCCACTGGGCTGCTTATAATTATAAGTTCTGATCCTCTTACGGTCATTTTGGTTGAGTTTATAGGAAATGTAAAAAATACGACCATAGATATAAAATATCAACAAAAAAGGACCAGCAAAGAACAGGACGATGCAAGCAAGGCCGTACTTCTTGTTTAGATCATCCATAAAGGCATTTCGATCACCGATCTCTAATCCATGAAAAATATACCAAGACAACTGAACGACAGAGGCTAGAATTGAAATCAGCCACACAGCAATAGTGGCAACCACTGCTCGTCTCTTTGTTACAAAAGCACGGTACTTCATGTCATGAACAATAAAGATATAGCGATCTGCAGCGATGAGCAAGACATGGCAAACTGAGGAGATGGCTGTGAATCGATTAAACACAGTAGAGGCCACGCAGACAATGATACTGACGTCCATCTCCATGCAAATGAAGAGCAGAGGCATTCTCGCTAGACCTGATATAAGATCTGAAAGCGCCAGCGAAGTAAGAAACATGTTGGTAAGTGTTCTCAATATCTTCTTTCTGCACATTAAAAAGATTATGAGACCATTTTCGGAAACAATCAACAGGCACATGAAGGACATCAAAATAATCAGTGGTGAAGTCAGAAGTTTGAATTCATTTTCAGGTTCAGTTCCATTGGTTGAGGCATTCCCGACCAAACTTGAATTGAATTCGCTGGGCGATGGGGAAACGTGAGACATGTTAGTGAAGAAACCACGTAATCTTGTAATGATACAGTTCTTGTTCCTCTCAGCTCGGCGTGTTAATCAATCACTGGTGGGAAAGAACGGCCCCTATAAGAATATGTAACATGACACTATAACAAACTTTCTAAAGGGCTGCATTGATATGAAACCACTATTAAGAGCTAAATTTGAAAATGGAATATATGAAGATAAGAGTTAATTTGCTTGTACGTAGTGTTGAAACATACAATTACAACATTTTAATTGAGTCTTTGGACTCAGGTAAAAATAAGTATGGTCGGTTTTTCTTTGAAGTCATCCGGTTCGACAAGTAACTTAATTAACTCCTTCTACGACATTTTCTGGCCAAGAGGAAAAACAAAATAAAAGAGAGTATGTAAATCGTTTAAAGATCTTTAATACGCAAGCACCATGTTTTGCAGGGTATGAATTGTGAAGTTTCCTCTGTGGGTACCTTATTGTGATAAAATATCTTGAATAATTCATCACCGGCTTTCCAGGGTTAACCCATGTGCCATGTGACCTGATCCTTCATTTAGTGTGGTGATATTGACGTGTCATTTGATATATTATTAAGGAATCATGGCTAAAAGTACACGGAGACATGCATGTATTAGGAACATTCATTTTTATTTGCGGTTTTCGGAAGCGATGAATGCGTTCTCAAAATTTGGTCAAGAAAACGGTTTTTACTTGACGCTCTCAGCAGAAAAGTCCTCCTTTTACCCAACAGAATCAAAGAGAAATTATAGGACAAGGACGAAATACCACTTTCACTGCCTGTCTGATCGAACTGAAATTATGAATTTGGTTTGCTTACCTTCAGGGTTTCAATCTTAATAAGGTCAATTTTTTTTTGGATTCTGTCTGTTGCCCTCCGATCATTTAAGGAATTGTAGACTTTGTGGCTCCATGACCTTCAGCTTTTCAATTAAGGCATCACCACATTTCCTAGATTTAATAAGAAAAAAAGTGCTCAATTTTCTTAAAAAATAAAACAATATATCACTCTGATGAGATTCTCTCTTTTTTCGCTTCTTTCAGAAGGAAAAAAACTGAAATCTCATGACACTGAAACATAAAGTTCTCTAGCTATGATTGGCAAGGTTAAGTATAGTGTGACATATGACATTTTTTACTTAAACTTTACTTCTGTAAGGTAAAAACACAAACTAAATACATTTTCCTAAAAGTTAATAGCTTCCATGACCTAATTGCACTGATTCTTCTTATGACCGAACTCCTAGGTACCTGTATATGCACATGTCACTACTACAGATCCCTTACTGATAATTTTTTCCCAGGTATGAATATTTGAGCTGTTTTCTGTTTCCCTTTCATCCTGTAAGTGTTATTGCCCGTCCATTAAATTTGTGAGAATATTATTTTTATTTATTCAGCTTGCCATCTGCTCTTATTTAAGCACCTACTGGATTGTTTTGTCGATTATCGCTTTTAGCGCGATTTTGCGGTTGATGCATGAAATTGCACTTGTGTAGTTTATTGTTCCACTTTTATGCCATTTTACCATAAAAGGGCAACAGGACGTGCAGAATATGCCATGTTATTACACTGCAGAAAAGGGCAAAAAAATACGGACAGAAAGCGGAGCAACAACATGGCCAAACCAAACGATCCAAGCTTACCTTCTTAAGGCTCGACTTTATTAAAAGAAGAAATTGTAGACGAAATGTTTTTTTTCGTTTCAGAAAGGACACTTCGATAACTTCGATCTCGTTGTTTTTGTCTTCCGCGCGCACTTTATCAAATCGATACGATTTCAAGAAAATTCTCGGTTGTATGTATTTCTAATACTAGAAGCCAAAATACGAGAAAATGGAGTAAATGGCGGAATAATAAATTCCTTATTCGATATTTTAACATGTATTGCAAGCGGCATTTTGCGGATTGCTCGTATTCTTATATTAAACCAGCAAGCAGGATGTCTTTTATTGTTGTTTTTGCGTTCTGAAATTTACCCTCAATCTCAATGCTCAAGAATAACTGTACCAAACACCCTTTCTTTCACTACCTACGAGCCATATCATATTAAACATGATTCAAGCAAAAGATCAAAAGATAAGTAACAATACTTTTACCTCAACTACTGACTTCCCAGCGCGATCTCAATGGTTAACATAGCAACTAGTCAAACCATGCCAAGGTTAACAAAGCAACCAAGACGAACTAGCTGTAAAGATCATTTGAGGTGATCCGGTCTTATTTTTTCACGCTTTGTTTTGTTTGTGTTAAGTTAAAAGGAAATTTAATTATCACTTTTTTGGGTAAATAAACGCAAGCAATACACTTTCTTTCCTTGCTTTCCGACAGATCTTTATCCATTATATCATTCAAGGCGAAATTAAGGTTTATGAAACTTATTTCTGTCTGAGAGAAAATGCAGCTAATTAGCAAAAGGCCCGAATGTTTCACTTAAGCTCGATTTACGCTAGCACTTTTTTTTTCTCATTCGTCTATTGATATAAGACCTGGTCGTCTGTTCGCTGAATATCGATATTGATTGGACTGACTAAGATTCTTTGTGATCAGCTCATTGCTATGAATAATAAAAGTTTTGCAGTGTTAAATTTGAGCATTAAATATGCAATGTCATTTTAAGCCGACCCTGAGGCACGAGCTGTAAACATAGGAAACACTTGTAAATCTGCCATGACCGTATTTGCATAAGTAGTTGAGTAGTTGCACTGGGACTAACTTCTCGTTAATTTTCATTAATTTTCAAGTTGGACGCTTTAAGCTTTGCATCTCCGCTGATCATCAATCGCATGAGTGTAGGCAGCTTTGACATACCGCCTATTACCTTCATGAGCCTGCCCACATGAACCTCTTCCTCACTACAAAAAGCCTCATTCACCTGTTATCCTTCCACAAATTGGACTCCCTTTAAAAAGCATATTCAGTTTGTGACACAGAGTTTATGAGATTTGAATAAAAACTAACAATTTCGGGAAAATTGTCGATGACAATATCTTGATAGCGTCGAAGATATTAAACCGGCTGAGATGATGCTTTCGTTTTACTTCAGCTTAAAATGTTTCTTTGAAATGCGAAGTGGAAGGAGCAGGTCAGCTTGGAGAAAAGGTAAAACTTGACACGAACGTAAACAACGTGGAAAATTCCTTAAACTGAGTTTTTTTTTACGGGATATTGTGCACAGAAAGGAAATACTAGGTGACAAAACAGTTGAGTCTGGTAGAGACTATCAAAGACTTGAAATATTTCAAAGACTTTTAAAGTAATTTCAACTAACATCGGTCAAAAGCTTAGCTTACCAGTGCATGCTTTGAGTACTCCGGCAGTTTTGTTTTTCTGATGATAAAGAAGTACCGAATGTACCAACACTTCTGCACTACCTCTCATTATGAATATTTATTGTTGTAAATAATATAATTCTTGCCTATCAAAGCTGAATTCTATTGGTTGGAAATACTAACTTCATGTGTTTTGTCTCCATGCCACCAGCAGTAAAACTCGCAAAAAATCATAACAGTTGCGGTTTAGACTTTCAGCATGCTTTAAATTGATTTCGCGCTTTGTCGGCGCGCGAGTCAAAGACAGTCGAAGCGCCGGCCGACGAAACACAAACAGTAGCTTCCTAAAAAAAACTTCAGGACATGAATTCATCCATTAGGCTTTAGTTTGGTCCTTTGCCTGAGTTCCGGTGACACAGTCCTCAAAAGCTTATGTTAATAACTGCGAGAGTTTAGTGAAAGGAAGAAGAAACAAACTGAAACAAACTGCCTATTCTTTAATTTATCTCTGAGTAAACCTTTGGGTGACATCCTATGTACGCATACTTAAATAAAAAAATCAATTTCATCTGATTTAAAAAGGAACTTGAAGCCAAATTTGTTTAGAAAAACAGAAAAATGGATTTATTCCTACGATCTTCAACATCCAAGTTCCCTGCAGAGCTTCATTTAAACATGGTGATGCTTTTTTTAGCCTTGAAAATGCTATCATTTAAAAAAGAAACGCTAACACTTGAATCGAAAGCAAACAGTGACTGAGTAAAATGAATTAGTTGATGCCATTTCCAAATTGTTAAAGAAGCTCTCCTGTGGAGAATCATTTTCATGTTTGCACCTATAAAGGCAAAAAGCACGCTGTAACACGATCTCTTAAAACCCGCACAGACAAAATTACATCGACCAACAAGTGACTATTGTCTCGAATATGTTAGAATCGTAAATGCAAATGTGAAGTTCTAGAAACGTGATAAAAGCCGATATTTTAAACTCAATGAATGAGCACCTCGTGACGAACACGTTCAGGTCATCGGAAGAAAATTAATACGATATGATATTTTAAAATCGGCAGGAATAACTTTGATACGCATACAAACTCAATAAATCAGCAGACAGGTGCTTTTTAAGTTAAGAATATACGCATGTCTTTTTTTGCTTCTAAGGTGAACTGAATTTTCAGGAAAAGTGGAGTTTTTAGATGAAAAGCTGTTTGAGAGACGTCTGTCCACTAGCAGTGAATATGATACCGAAGAAGCTAATGATCAGCGTATTGTTCTTGTTCAACTGAGCTGCTGTCAAAAGGCTACCATATTCTCTTCGATCAAAATTGTCACGTCTCTCAGAAGTAGAAGAGTGCATGAAGTAGAAGCAAGCTTGATACTTGAACTGTTGTTTAATACTTAAATATTGCCCGTGGAATTGAAAACATTCATTTGTTTTATTTTGTCATATGTATATTTTCTGGGTCTTATGGCAATGATCTAATTTTTCACAAGTGAAGGGTGTTATTTTCAACGATTTTTGTATGGTACCAACATTTTATTAAAAATGTTAATGTATACCGTAGACTACAGATATTGAATTGATTCTTGTCATTTCGGTCAGGCTAATGTATCATAAGTACACACTCAAATTGTCTCACTAACACTAAAGAAGAAAATTGACATAATACCACTCGCCCAAAAAACTTCTGTCAGTTATGGTAGCCATTCAACGCTATTCTGAAACACAGTAAGCTTACTCTGGAGATTTCTTCCTGAGCGGGACGCTTAATTACGGCTTTCATGGCAGTGATAATTGAATCAGTATTGCAGTAAAATTCATGTCACTTCGTGGTTCTCGATCATCCGATTGAAAGGTTAATAATTACCATTTCATAAATAGGATTTTTTTACATAACTTGCTCCTTCTAATCTCTTGTCAGGTCTAATATTTTTTTATCTTCCATCTTCTTTGATCTGTCCACCTGAAGAAAGATTGTTTTGGTATTCTTTCCCTGCCCTTCTTTTTTTTTCTTTTCTTTCTACTTTCCTTTCATTGTGAAGCTAGAATTAATTAAACCACTTTCCACCAACATAGACTTAATCTATTTTTCCAACTACAATAATAAAAATCAAAACAAAAAACTAGAATCAAAACATCTTTTTTCATCCTTGAGAATTGTCTCCGCCCCTATTTTCGATGTCAAAGTTAAAGTTTACTTATTTGAAGCTGCTGTGCTGCATATGCGGGCCAATATATGCTTTTTTGACTGACAAAGGGAACTAAGCTCATCAGTGAACATAACACGTCGAAGCCAACAGAGGCATTATTAGAGTTTTGGTTATGATCCCTTCATCAACTCCAAACTCGGTCGTTCTTTTGATCAAATGTGATATTCTAAATTCTTACTTGCATAATTACAATCTGATTTAATACTTTTCCTAATTTAGCCTGAGAGGGGCTCTATTATTCCCTGGTCAATTTAATGTCATCCTGGAAGTTTTTTCATGCTTCCTAAGCCCTCACATTAAACCTCCCTAAAAGTGACCTCTGAAGATAAATTTTGGTTTTTTTTCTTATTGTTACCGATTCACACCACAAGCATAATTGCTGATGAACAAATCGTGACACGTCAGGATTTGATGTTATCGTCTCCTCCAGGTGCATTTCATCATTTCAGTGCCATAATATTTAAATTAACTCCGACATAATTGAATCAAGAATACTTTAAACTAAATGTGATGTATTGCTTGATGATGAAGCTTTTCTCTAACACCGGTAAAAGCATCACAACGCAAAACCATTAACGGCCAAAAAAATAAAACATGGAAAGGTTTGACGGAAATGGATTCAAGATTCAAGGAGTGCTGCCAAAAGTAGATTATAATATTTCATTTGAACATAAATGATTTAAAACTCTCTCGTGCAAATTGAAAAATATGTTAACCAGCGCTTGGGAATGTCTCAAAATGTTGTCTCACGAAATGTTCTCTCAAAGGAACGAATATTACTTCATACTGCAATGAAAGGACGTTTTAAACATTTCATTCCTGCGGCAATACTCCTCTTTATGGTTCGAAAAAATCCATTTTAGTGAGGATGTTAACAATTTGTTTGTTCACATTAAGGCAACTTATGATTTCCCCTAAATAATCAATTTCATAATATTTCCAATGATAATCATTGTATGAAGCTTTTCAGAATCCTCATTTGATATTTCAACGTCATGTAAACTTTCAAGCAAACTAATTTTAAAGATATTGACAAACTAAATTCGCGATCTATGAAAAGATAGATTCATTTCAACAAAAAAAAAGCAAACCGAGTTATCTTCTAGAGAAGACCCATGCAGTGCATCATATAGAAGAGAGCATATATTTATCTAAAAGGCGACATTTGAATTAAGCAGCCCACCTTTATTGTCTATCATCTGGCATTATGAAGTGTTTTTGACAAATGTTAATTTGGTTCCTCTTCCGTCAAAACCTATCTTTTGATCTGTCGTGAGCGGAATGCGATTAGGTTAAATTACCCGCCTGTCATGCACGAAAAAAAATGATTTGGAGCATCTAATTTATACAAAGTGAATCAGGAAATCAAGCTTTGCAGATCAGAGCAAAATTGTAAAATGTCGCTGTTACTTGGTGGATCATCCAGTGCGCGCAATTCAAGTGGTGAAGACAGTAATTCAAGCTTCCAGACAAACTCTGATCACGAGCGACCCGAGATTCTCCCTCTATCATTAATTCTACTTTTATCCCTCGTGTGCCTGCTGGTTGTTATAGTCAATAGCTTCGTCATGTTCTTACTTCACAAAAAGAGAACACTGCGAACTCTCCGCACCAACATGTTCCTTGGATCGCTGGCAATTTCAGATTTGTTGTCTGGTCTAGTAGGAATTCCTCTTTTCGCTATTTGTTTGGATACAGATATTATAGACGTTTGCGTGTCCTCTACAATTTTCATTCGATTTACAGCCATTTCCTCTGTCTGCCATGTTCTACTAATCGCAGTGGATCGTTATATATTTATAGTTCACTATATGGAATACCATGGTCTTGTAACGAAACGACGAGCACTCTTCGCCATTGTTACTGTTTGGCTTTTTTCTTCGGTGGCTTCCGTCATTCAGTTGTCTTGGTATATTTTTTATCAAGTTGCTGTTACAGACTCCGAAAACATCACAAATGAATTTAATAAACACTACAGCCTAGCTTGTCTCGTAATTTTCTTTGCTCTGCCTCTTTTGTCTATGTGCAGCATTTATGGCCGCATTTTCTACATTTCAGTCAAGCGTAAAAACAGTCATCATAAAATGAGTAACATTGTTCAACAGCCCTGTCAACCTCAAAGTCATGAATGGCGGGGCCGTAGTGTGTTGGTAATCGCGATTGTAATTTTCGCAAGCTGTTGGTTGCCGTATTTCGTCGCGATGCTGAACGACCACATGAATGATTCTGAAAACACGACCATGCAACTGCATATGCAGCGTCTGTTGGTATTTGTGGGGCTCATTCCTCCCATATCAAACCCAATTTTGTGCACACTAGCTAAAAAGGATTTTCGTCGAGCACTAAAAGAATTATTATTGAGACGGAAAACGAATATGCCCGCTGCAGTTGTGGTACACCGTGAACAAATATGCTTATAAGTTCTTACAACTTGACTCTGTATGTCAATTATTGTCGCAGGGTGAGCGATGCCTTTTAAACATATTATCAGATAAACGAATCAAACTTAACAATTTCTTTCTCAGATGAGTTCCAATGAAGAGGATACCATTGATTAACAATTTTTTTTTCTAGCTTGGGAAATAGATATAAGTGTGCGATTTAAAATGGATTGTTCGTTGCAGCGTGAGTGATGCCTTTTAGACATGTTATCAGATAAAGGAATCAAAATTAACATTTTCTTTCACAGTTGAGTTTCAGTGGAGAGAATTCCATCTAATTTACAACTTTCTTTTCTTCAAGCTTAGGAAAGAAATGTTACTCACGATTTGAAATGGAATCTTTTGTTATAACATGAAAGTTTGAATTTAGTGTGAGCAGTAGTGGGTAGCATACGATTGGATTAAAACAGATTGAATTATACTACCGCTTTGATATTCTTATTCTCTGTTAGAATATCAATATAAAATCAAATATGAAACATAACCTTGACAACTGGACATCCGCAAAATCATTCCGGTTGCTTTTGATCATTAGCTTTCTGATTCAATATCCGATTCAGAAGTAACCACTATACTTGAAAACTTTGCGGAAAAAAAAAAGAAAAGGAAGACGGAAAACTCGAGAAAAGTAAAAAAAAAAAAAAAAAGAACAAAACATCTACAGAAAACCAAATTAAAAATTAAAAAAAGGATATAAAGAATTTCAATTAGGATATTTAAAACAGAACACAGTGTCTACTTACTGGCGCTCGGCTTTCGTGATCATAATATTTAAGCTATGCTAACAGTAGTTTGTTTTCCTTCTGAAAAGATTTAATTGGAAAAGTAATTTCGCACATCCGCAGGATGTCTACAAAGATTATACACTGTACTTCGAATGTGGAAAAGAGAAATAAATCTGTTGTTATTACCAAAAGGATTTTTGATCGCTCTTCTCAATATTCAGTATCCTCTTGAAATTTCTTTTTGTTGCATTTACCTGACGTTATTTTCATGCTATTAAGTTCCTTGCAAGCAAAGTTATCTTATCTTCTAACATTTTTAATCCTTTCAATCCCAAGATCTAATTAGCAGTTCCCCTTACTGTCTGTCCTACAATTCACATGATATAGGTCTGAAGAATTTGGTACTGGATCAACTGATAATCCCCCAATTTATATTTTTCTTTTTTCTCATCACTTGACTGCGTAAAGGTATAATAAAATTGTAAGAAGAAATTCTCTCTTGGTCACTCATGGGAGCTGAAGGGTTAAGAACTTTTTCAATCCACAGGCTCTGCTCTTTAAAACGGGAAGACAATTTCTCTCATTTTTTTTAATTTGAGTCGGACATTACTGTACGTGCTCTAGCAATGATCTCAGCCAAACGAAAAGCAAAAACTGCAGGGGGTGGGAAACCGGAGAACGTGACCCAATGCTGTTGGAAATTATAGCAAAACCGACCATCTAAAACGAACAACACCCCGAACTATGGTAATCAACCAGCTGGCACCATTAAAACCAGTTGTTGCCAAGGAGCCGCATGATAAATAGAAGACTGAAACAAACCCTTTACTTCGCAAGCACAATTCACGGCCAAGATACTATTTCAAAATTGTCCATAGCTCATCTGGCTCGATTACCGCAAAAAACTGATTATCTCTGAAATATTATGACAGCATCTTGACTACTGTGGACGAAAAACAAGCACCAAGACGTCTAAAACACGATTAGGACATTGAACGTTGTCCTACCAGCTGAAAAAGGAATTACAGCTGTTGTGGACAAAGTTACATGGCCTTTACGTCCTTTACGATAAAAAAGAAGAACTAGTAAGCGACGAACAAACTTACAAAGAACTCAAGCGCGACCCGCCTCCCACGCTTTAAAACGAACTCAACTGCGCAAACTACTCAGGCTCAAGAAGACTAAAGTGCTGAACCCTGACAACCATCGAAACTTTACAGCCTAACGATGCTCACAAACCTGGTTTCCGATGCTGACTTATAGGGTCTAAAAAGCTGATCCTCTTGCTTGCAACAGACTTCTCTCAACCGGTCACAATAACCAGCGACACCATACAAACAATGACCTAACAGCACAGACGAATCGCAAATGACCGATCACGAACGAATTATGAAACCTGAGTCTTGCAGCTACTAACATCACAGAATAATTGACCAATAAGTTTCCGCCAACAGGATCAAATGACAGCATTTTTTCCCTTGACTCTGACGATGACTTCTGCAAACTGACTTCTTTCGAAACGTTAGTCACCACAACCGACGTACCCGGAAGACGAGATTGCATGTTTAAAACTACACGTAAGGAGTATCTAAGCTACAAAAATCTTTACTGCTTTATCTTGTTATACTCCCTCACCGACGCACCACCGCATTTAACAAGTTTTACATAGTTGCCAGCTACAGGTGCATGACGACGAGTTGCGTGGCTAACAATGGAATATTTTATGAATTCAAGGTTAAAGAAAAGTAAACATTGGTGCAAATTTTTAAATTTAAAAACTGGATCTCAAGAAAATGGTTTAACCTTGAGTAGACACTGGAGGAGCTCATATTTACTGGCCGGATTGTTAAAAGAAAGAGCCAAGAGCCAAGGATGATTTGATTGTCTTTTGCAAAAACTTCAGCTGCACATGGTGATTACAGAATCCTGTTTTGAATATGGCTGCATTGCCTTAAGTAATTGCTACACTGAATACCTCACAGGACTACAAAGAGGTTGTGAACAAGGTGAACCGTCAACTGTCGAACAGCTGAAAGTCATATACCCATCAATCATGAAAAATGTCAGAAATTTTTCGTAGACCAAGAGACTTGTCAATAATGTTTTTATTAGCCTGGTCTATTCAGCATTTTATCCTATTGTTATTGAGACCTAGGTTACAATAGATAAACTGTCGTTTCATTAAAAAAATAACCGTCAACCGTCTAATGGTCGATAATGTGAGTGTTCATGCACCAACAAATGAGCTTAAATCCAACCGTCAACCTTTTAAGACATCAACTTGTAACTATTATAAGCGACGCTCCAATGCTAATAAATTTTAACGACGCCTTCTTTACACATTATTCGGAGAGACGGGGTGGCGCAGCTGTAAAAGCGCTCGCCTCCCACTGCTGTGGCCTGGGTTCGATTCCTGGTGTCACATGTAGTTGAGTATGTTATTGGTTTCTTTTCCTTGCTCCGAGGGGTTTTCTCCGGTTCTTCCGATTTTCCTCCCCCCACAAAACCAACTTTTCCTATTTCAATTCAACATGGAAACGGTGGACAAGAAGAGCCACCTCGTGGAATGTCCACTGCTAAATCCCATCCCCATATATTCAAATATCAATTATTGTAAAATTACAAAATAAATATGCGAAATTGAAGAAATTAACTGTGGCAACCACAGTACATGAATTAAACTTACATCTTTTGCAATAACAGGCGAAGCTGTGGAGTTATTCGAATAAATTTCCGAGGCGAATTACGGGAAAAAGCTGAAAAAAAGCGCCCGACTTCTAGCGGCAAAGGTGTAAAATAAAATAGTTGCTAAGTAAAAGTAGTATAAAGGCTCTATGGGTAACGTGCTACAAAAACTCCTTAATGATAAATAACTAGTGTTAAATGCTGCTGAATGGGTGATTAGTAAAACCTAGCACGGACTAATCAACATGATTCCGATGGATATTTAAAAGGACAAAAAAAGGGCGTTTATGACCTTGTCTTTGACCTTGTCCTTGTGGGGCGTGAGTGGCCCAGTGGTCAGAGCGCTGGACTCTGGGTCGGACGGCCCGGGTTCGAGTCCTGGATGGGGCACTACGTTGTGGCCTTAAGCAAGTCGCTTCACTCACCTTGCTTCGTCTTCTCGGATAAGACGTTAAGCCGGAGGTCCCGTCTCCTGCAGGGTTTGGGGTAGGAGACGTTAATTTCCCACGCACGAGATTACTGTGTGATGGATGTCCTCCCCTGGGTTTAACGAGAACTTCTGTACTCCTAGGTGTCACGTGTTTAAATAAAGGATTGATAAGGATTGTCTATCCTTCCACTAAGAATTCAAAAGAGATGATCGAGTCACAAGGTAATTCAGTTATATAGTTCACTCAGTCAGATTCCCTGTAGGGCACCGACGCTGTTAGGACCAGGAAACTACAGATATTACATAGCTAATCAGTCTGCAGGGGTACAGGTACAGGCCGCTGTTGACGACGACCGCGATCACAGTTATAAACCAGAAAGGATAAATATGATGATAATTTGAAATTCGGAGTGCGCCGGCGAAACAGGGATTTTTTCAGAATGACACTTTGAATCTCTGGAACAATACTAATTCGGACATCCAAGACAAACAATTTGTAGACGAAATGCAGATGTACTTTTTTTGGAGAGAATCTCTTTATAGAAGCAATTCTATCCATCATTCTAATTGTGTTCATCGATGGAGCTCAATTTAATTTTTTAAACGTCTTATTCTTAACCCTCTCTTGCTTTCTCTGATTTTAAACTTGAAAACCACCGTGCCACCGGTATTTCATGCAACCCCTTGCTATTCATTAAGTCATGATTTACATTTTCAGTATGGTCGTCATTATCATCGTCATTGTCATCGTTATTATCATGATAATGTGTAAATGTAAACAGCACTCGACGCAATATTGCAACGAAAAATCAGGGAGAGAATCTTTTGAACGACTCCATTTGTCAATATTGTGGCTATGAAGACTTCCGCTCATAAACATGTAAGTTTGACATTCTCTTGAAAGTTTATCTTTGTTTTTTTAATTTTTACCAACATCGTCTTGGTAAAAACAGGAACATTATGTCAAACTAGCTGGCTAGTAGAGTCAGCTCCGGC